CTTGAGGGGTGCCCTAAAGAGGATGATGCTAAATAATAATGAATGATGTTTGTACAGGATTTTATCAGATGCAGAATGTCTCTTCATTGTAAAATTCAAGGGGTGGATATTACAAAATATAAGAATTATATTCTAACTGCAATTTACATACATACATTCACAATCAGGAAGGCAATGGCTAAAAAACATTTGGGATGTATCAGACTCTAACTGATATTTTAAAAGTCGAATGTCTATAAAGGCGGTCAACAAATTGCTAAAAGAAGGCAAGTACAAGTGCTCATCATAACTTTGATGACAGACATGGCAATATGGCAAAATTGGCAAAAAGGACAAACTATATAGAAAGCAATGGATAGAAGAGAAGAGCGGTGCAGATACGACCCACTTGAGGGGACAGACGTATAATAGCGTCATATATGTCCTGTACCACAATACAGACATGGGCGTTTAATCCTATTTATCTGGTCTGGTAAACACCCCTACAGGGCAAAATTAAGAAAAAATAAAGCGTTAAGGCACGATGACGGAACTTTGTGGCAGTGATTAAGTGAGGACTTTTAATCCTTTTTATCTAGTCTGGTAAACACGTCTACAGGGAAAAATTAAGAAATGTGCAATAATGGCAATTGGCCCGTAGACATTCTAGCCTTGTTTGGCACTTCATGGGTGTTGCCATTCATTGTGTCCACTTTCCTTCAAATCCCTATTCTGCCAAGAAATAACCAGACTTTCTCAAGTGTTACTAAGTTCAAGACGAGGTGGAAGACACTTTCTATGCAAGAGGAAATGTTTTTTTTTTCCAGCAAAGTCGAAAACATTTCATTAGATCAAAAATTTCATTTTCCGCAGTAGATTAAATCGCTAAAATAAATGATCGCAAAAGCGTAAAATGGCAAAAATAAATGGTTCTACAGTCATCAGCAGCCACATTGCTAAACATATATTGTTGTCAGAAATTACTTAATTTTTGTTTTTATTTCTAAGTTTCTGACGTTCATTGAAGACTTTAGTTTTAATGGCTTGAACCTTATTTTTGACATCAGGAAGAATCTTTGGATACTGGTCCAAAAAGCACTGCACCACATTCTTGCCTATAACAACAAAAATAAAAATAATTATTTAGTTATGATCTTTTATAAATTAGTAGGCATTGTGTACATCATTTTTTTAAACTACTAGGGCGTACATCATTTTTTAAAACTACTAGGGCAAACTGATATACCATGATTTTGTATGCTTTGACCATGAAAAAATAAATATGTGGCCTCTGAGTTTGTGAAAAAAAAGCATATACCCAATTATTATTTATTTTAATCGCCTACATTAAGTAGTTTCCACATGAATTTATAAATAAACATAATTTTTCTTGTTGCTTTTGATCCATTTCGAAAACAAATTATAATGACTTTATTATCTGTGCCACTTTGTTTGCACTAGTACAACTGGAAGTGGGGGTGTGGAATGCGATGACCAATTAAAGGGATTTAAGACATTTAATCAGAATGAATCTTTTGGGAAAGTTTAAACCAAATTACAAGAAATTAAAATTTTTTGAAGATCCAATTTTAGTAGGGTGTACATTTGAGGGCCATCTACATTTTCTAATATCCCAGACCTAAATATTTAAATTGACCTATAAATGGACCTAAATGAAACAGTCCAATATAATTTGTCATAGTCCAATAAAGCAAAGATTAAATTTTTGTTACAATCCAGAGTGGATATGAGGACGATTCAAAAGAAACGTCCTAGAACAGATATTTTAAAAACTGATCAACTGTTCTGATTAAAACTTTTTAGAAGATAACAAAGTTGCAAAAAATAAATTATGAAATTTTGGTGACAATCCTAATTCAGGTGTGAATTTTAGAGTAAATTATAAGTATAACGCCCTGCAGTCTAAATAATTTGCCTTGGTTTAGTAAAGGAATCACTAAATTTTGTAGAACGTCTGGAGTACACTATGGCTAAGTGTAAAAGTGATTCATTTCTCCATTTTACTTACCGGCAATGACCCTTTTGCATTTTCCGAGTCATCATGCATGTAGCTGTTAAAATAATTTGTAACATACATAGTGTCGACAGCAGACCACCTCGTAAATGAACGGCCTGTAAATGTATAAAAAAAAAAAAACACACCTCAGTTTCTATACACCGGTCCGATGAATTACCAAATATAGAATTACCCAAATGACATTGACTGCTTAACTCTCTAAAGTCAAATTTCATCCAAGTCAAAACATTTTTCACTGGCATTTTGGATTTAACTTAGGCAAGTTAAACTTTAGAATTACCCTAATGATACGGAATTAAAAATAAAAATGGAGCAGTTTGCTATCATTTTTTGACAGCCCAAGTGACAAAAACAAACAAACAAACAAATAATAGATGCTTATTACACTGAAGCCCTGAATTCCCACTAGGTTATTACAGTGTTAAGATATAATTTTTCTTAGGAAATTTAGCTGTATTATAAAGTTAAAAAAAAAAGACCTTCTGTACATTTCTCTGATGTCTAATATTGTAATGAAAAATTTTGGCAGGCATTAGCCATATGTCAAGCACATTGTTAATGGTAATGGTTGAAACTACAGGATTTTCATTACGATACCTGATGATGGCTTCACAGACGGTTTTACTTTGGCAGCCGCTGGAAAAAAGAATGAAAAAATGTTTATGTAAAAAAAATGTTGAAAGTACGATAGTTCAATATTTTAGCTTATTCACAGCCACTACTCGGCATTAATTAATCAAATATCAAAGTTACAATATTAGAATAGCACCCACTGAATGAAGTCTGTAGTTTAAATATTGATAACTTAAATATTGAAAGTTAAATTCATCATCATGTGATTATAAGCCTTGATTTTAGGACAGAACAAATTTCTTCAGCATACCTGAATGACAAGTACGCATCATAGTATCACGCTCAACTGTAGCACAAGGTACAGCATCAGAATTCACTCCTGAAACAAAGTTTTAACAATATGAGGCATGTTGTGCCAAAATGGCTAAGTTGTAGCAAAAATTGAAATTCAAGTTATTGGTATTTTCATATACCTGAGTATGTGGTCTTTAAAATGAGGGGTCATTCATTAAAATTGGACATTCCAAGCTTAAGTTATAGGAAAGTGAAAGTATAGTACTCTTAGAGTCAAGATAAACATGATTTTGAGTAATTGCCTTTCAAAGTTATTTGTGCATACATTGTTTAATAGAATCAACTATCAAAATAATGTTGAATAAACCATTTGTTGACCACTTCCAGTGAGAGCTAGGTCTATCAGATTTGCTCTTGAGGATATTTCCCATACGATTAAAATCGTAACGGTACTGGGTTTGGTCTACAGGAGCTCGTGTTTCGTACAGGTCATTCGATTCATAGAAAAAGCCTTTAATAGTGAAAGCGTACCTGTCATTAGCCGTAGTAGCCTAGGTCAATACATAACACCGGCTGTATAAAATTTATTATAAAATTGTAAATGTTAATCTTATTATTGTAGTAGTGATACACTATGTACACGGTTTAGTTATTGTTATTTATTCGAACATTATTTAAATATATAAATTTAATGTATTGTTTAAGTATGAATTACTATGTCCGTGTTAAATTAATCTTATCTATTAAAATTGTATATTTAAATAATATAGTAATACTAAAAGGCACTGATAGCCGAGGTCTAGCCTAGACTAGCCCTAAAACAAATGAATATGTGAGTGTATAAAACTATGAAAAATATGAAGAAAAAAAACGCAAAAATTGTGAAAGAATAAACTACATCTGGCTTGTGCTACAATTCTCAGTTGATGGTAATATTTTTGCTCTGAAAAGAACAGTTTGATTATAATGTCCTATCGTTTCTGTTAGTAAATACTAACCATTCAGTATTAGGCACAATATATAAAAATTTAAGTTGTATACTAAAATAAAAATAGGCCATAGTGCATATCCGACATGTAGAGCAAAGCCAGATAGGGCCTAGGCCATATGTGTGTGTTTGTTTGTTTGTTTGTTTAATTTATTTCTCCACACACATGAGCATATTAACATACATAACAAAACTTAATAGTAAAACCAACTAAGAATAATAGTACATTCAGAATAAGTGTGTGGAAGGAGGCCAAAATAAGTTTAGAATAAAACTTTAAGCCGTGGCCACCAGTTAAAAATATATAGAAATACAAAAATATAAACACAAAATAAATATATATATATATACACATATTCATATACATACATATACATACATACACACATACAGTACATATATATACTGTATATATATACACACACACATACATATACAAACAAACGTACATATATATATGTGTTAGTGGTGCTGATAACAGCTGTGCATTCAAACCTTAAGCTTCAGTCTTTACTAAGCAGGAATTCCATTTTGCTCAAACGTATATATAGGCCTATGCATTTATTCTTTTCTCTTATACCGTTTTTACGTTTACGGTATACATAACACTGATTCAGAAACAACGTCCTATTTAGAAACCACGACAGCCAAGTTATTTCCCTCGCAATGTATTTTCCCCCTTGACAAGTTCTTGTGATTGCTCAGTACGATTGAACCATATGACTGACTTTTAATTACTGAAACAAAAAGTGGGTTCTACTCTAATTTAATATAAAAATGAGGCATTTTCATTAAAATAAAACCCTTATGAAAAGATCAGATAAAGTTACATACGAATTGATAAAATGTATGTGTTTTCTTTAGGTGTTAGCGAGCCTAAATTTTAGAAATTTTCCTTATACAAATTTGAGTAATGCCACCACTTGTATTTAGGGACCCAGTTTGCAGCGCTCGTTCTGCACTACTGTGCTCCAAACACTTGTGCAATTCCTTTCAGCAAGTAACTAATCATAATGAAGGATCTATATTGGGAGATATTTCAAACCTAGAGCTCCCCTTTAATTATTTCTACTGTAGCTTCACTAAGCCAGGACTTGAGATAATTTGTACACAAATGCACGGACACGGGTGGAAAACTTAAAACCATTCACTATCATAAACACCATCAGTCAAGCATTCCATAATAATTATTAAAAAAATTATCATTATCATATTAGAAATATGAACTAATTGCTGCAAGTATCTTGTATTGGGACATTTGTTTTTTTAATATAGGTAATAAAAGCACACAAAAAATCCAACTGATAACTAAATTAGGCCAAATTACATGAAGAAAGAAGTCAAACACAAAAAATCAAGCAAACAGAAGCATGCCGTCATACCAGTGAATCGGACTATCATGCTTGAGAGATTTGTTGACCCCGTGAGAGGCAATCGTGGCTTTGGATGGATTTTACATTTTCTTAATTTCCGATAAAACTACCCAACCAATCATAGTTTTATATCAGCTTCAAGCTTATTATAGGCCATGGGGTGAAGCTCAAAAGACGTCTAGAAAACGAATTCCGTTCCGATTTTTTCATTATAAAAAATTTAGGCCTACAATAGTTAAGTAATATGTCTTGAATCAAATATAAAAAGTTAGACAAAAATATCTTCTGCAATTTTAAGAAAATTACCGTTTTATTACGTTCCTAGGCTGCTGGTCGTCGGAAAACACACCGCGATACAGCGGTGTAGAAGCACGTCGCGATCATACCATGAGCTGTCCACTTGCGTCATCTCGCATAAAATCGCGTCATTTTAGGTCAAATCGTGTCAAGTAATGTCGGATTGCGTCAGTACACGTCAATTCGCGTCAACTTACAGTATAATTAGTAATGAGAAATTTCAACAAAAAAACCTATTTTATTATTGTAATTGCAATTATTTGATATTCTTTTCAAAACAATAATTGTGTAACAATTTAAAGAAAATGTATTGGTATTTTGACTTCTTTTGACTCCTGTGGTCTTCCTTTTGACAATGTGTCTGCATGTTCCCTGTATGTGTACAAAAGTACACACTTCATTCTTACAGTATTTTTGGATTCATATTCCTTTTTTAAAATTATTGTATTTATTTTACTTTCAAATTGTAATAAAGGATTAAATGTGGGGAAATTTAAACTTGATGCATTGTTATGATGTGCATGGATGTATATTTGTTTTGTATACACATCTAGATGTGTATAAGAATTGAAATTTAATACGTAATATGAAAAATTCATATTTATTTCTCAAATATTCTGAGAGCTTATACAATATATAACTCTATATTTATGTACTGTACACGTGTTATACATCTTAATAAAAGCTTCTTGTGCTCTAGTGAGTCTGTTACTTTTAAAATTTTCTATATAATACTTAATAAATAAATACAGTGAAGCGTTTCGCAGTCCTTTGTCGTTGTGAGATTATTCTCATGGTTCTAAAGTTCGCAAGGGTTACACCGTTACATTATACAGTACTTTTTTAACATTTGTACATCATACATAATAAATAAAAATAGATAATGCTTTACATACTCCTGTGTCATTGTGTGT